TACCTGCCTAAACCTTTTGCACAGTACTGTATTTAAACAGATTTAAATTGACATATGACACACTAAAGTAAATATTTAAACTGGCAGCCCAATTTCCCTGTTATTGTTAGGAACACATGCCAGTCTACTTCAAATTACCCAGCAATCCACCAGTAGATCCAAATTTATTTTCTGTTCATCTCTGCTCTGCTGTAACTTACATGTCATTAGAGAATGCCACTAAATGATTTTTCTATCACCAAAAAGCCTTACAAAGAGATGAGCTGTTTATTTATAAACTCACATAGCGATCAACATGGGGCCTCATAATTTCTCTACATACTAAAACAGAAATTAGGAAAGTAGACTGAAGAACTACTCAAAACTTCTAGTTTGTAGAAACTGTATAGCTTAAAAGCATAATTTGTTGACTGATTCACTTTTTTAAACATGAACCCCCATTTGATATAGAGGCATTATTCTGAACAATGGGCAAAAAGTAAGAGAACATAGCCAATCATTTCCCAAAGCAAAACAGTCTTTAATCAATTCTCTTTACTCATTGCTAAATATCTTAAGACTTCTGCGTACAAGTAATTTAAATACTGTACCAGGAAAACAGAAATGTTTCCAGCCTCATAAATTATGCCAGTTGATCAAATTTTGCATTATTTTCCTGATATTTAATTCATAAATTTTATTACCTGCATAATTTATTTGATTCTGCCAGTAAAGGAAAAAGTCAACTTGCTATGCAGGATACTGAAGCCCTGCTTTCAATTACCACATTGGTTTCTAAGACAATATGCATGCTTTCAAACATCTTCACAGCTCTAAAGGTTAACCGATTTTTCAAACAAAAAGCTGTGGTTCTTAGGAATTATATAATTCTTTTCTGTATACACCCTAGAACCACAACATTACCCACAGTATATTATTCATGCAGTGTTCTACAACTGAATGAAACAGAGATAATGGAAATCTACAGATGTATTTATTCTCTTAAAAGCTAACTCAACTCTGCTTGAAACATCACCAATAAGAGATCACACGCAATCAATAACTTTTAAACTTCTTGCATAAAAATGGAGGAACTGTCTTTGAAAAACAGCATGCACACTTGACAATCCCACAGACAAAATCAACTGCCCAATTTAGAGTATTCTCTCAGTTAGCAAGAATTACTGTTAGTTCCAATCGTAAATATTTGGCCTGATTTGAAGTTGAAGTTGTTGCAAACACCATCTTGTACCTCATAATCATGCCCTCTTTCAATGATTAGATGCTCCACCATTGTTGGTCATTCACAAACCCATTATTAGGCTTCCATCTTAATACAAACACCATCTTGTACCTCATAATCATGCCCTCTTTCAATGATTAGATGCTCCACCATTGTTGGTCATTCACAAACCCATTATTAGGCTTCCATCTTAATACAAACACCATCTTGTACCTCATAATCATGCCCTCTTTCAATGATTAGATGCTCCACCATTGTTGGTCATTCACAAACCCATTATTAGGCTTCCATCTTAATACAAACACCATCTTGTACCTCATAATCATGCCCTCTTTCAATGATTAGATGCTCCACCATTGTTGGTCATTCACAAACCCATTATTAGGCTTCCATCTTAATACAAATTCTACCAGACGACATTCATTTATCAAATAACTAAACAGCCATGACAAGCTTTCCAAAACATCAAACTTGTTCTGAAAGCAAAGATAACAGTCGACATTTGAATTTTGCTTTCTGTTACAGTATATTCTAGAGCTTTAAAGATCATTTATGCTGATAAAGGAAAGTGTGACCCTATTAACTTTAGACACAATAAAGAAGCAAAGAAAGTAGGTCTGTATTTTAAGACAACCTTCATTCCAAAAATTTATCACTGCATACAACAGATTAGATAGAAGTGTTATTTCTTCCTGCTACATATTTTACATAATACTGTTAAATCAGTATATGCTAGTAAATGAATGTCACTGTGAACTCTACATTGTAAAAATAATCTTCAGTTACTAGATGATTATACAAAAGCATAAAGCAGCCAACCTCTGATAGTATGAAGACTGGAAATCAGGACTGAAGATTTTTTCATTTGAGGATATCAGACAAGTAAGGTCATTCATAAACACAAATAGTATATGTAAGATCCTTCATAAAAAAATATTTTTCATTAGACAGCTTGGCATAAGAGAGAACATGGTAATTAACATCTTTTCTCCAATCTGGAAAACATATCTTCAAACTCTTCCTTGGAATTCTAATATCAGCAGAATTCAAACTATAAAAACAAAGAGCTAAATAGAGGAACATCAACAACCAAAGAGCTTTGGATCTGTAGCCTCTGTGCTATTGGGAATTACAAAAACTTTCAAAACATTCTTCCTTGCCTCAGGCCTTAGAATCTTATGTGGTATTTCTTTAAAATAGTTTTTAATATTGTGGGGAACTTCTCTCCAAAGACCACAGAATCAAACTGTCAGGTATATGTTTAGAAATAGCACCATGTTATACCTAGGTTATCTAAGGACAGATTTATTTATTTATTTTGGAAGCTGGATACAGAATCCCCATAATCTGTGCTGCAGTTCTTTAAAACAAAAAAAAAGATTAACAAATTGGAGAAATCTTCTCCAATTTGGAGGTCATTAAAAACAGAGCTGTCAGACACATGACAAACATTGGACAAGAGTGAGAGAACAGTTAGCATTAGCTTTGGGAAATTTAACTTGCTTATACTATGTTCCAAGTCAAAATGAAAATTCACACAGCAGATCTCCAACCCAAAGCACTTACATACCAGATCATCAGAATATTGAAGATTCATTTATATCTATATCTATAGCTTTCAGGATAATCTTTGTCTTGACAAAATTAACTAGACTGAAGAATTAGACTTTTTAAATACTGTACAATGTTTGAGAACTTTGCAAGAATATAAGGGACATTACTTAAATCAAAAGTATGGCTTTATTGCAGAATGGAATTAAACATATTTGGAATGTCTTGGATTGATATACAACAAAACCTTTTCACAATCATATTTACCTTCCTCTTACTCACTACTGGAATACAGAGTTCCTTCTACAGTTTATTTGCACTTTGTTTAAAACAAGCGTAAATGGTTAACAGAGCAAGAAGAAAAGAAGTGACCACGAAGGTGAAATACAGCAAGAAGTTATGGTAAAGTCACTCTGCTTGTAGTCATACAGTACCTGGGAGCTGAATCTGTGATCATCAGAGGTACTGACTAGATCAATGGAAGACATGGAGGAAGAGCGACTATAGGGCTAACAGAGACAGACAAAGAAAAAAACCAAGTAATCAGAACAAAGGCACAACAGAGCATTTTGTACCAACTTCCACGCACAAGATTATGAAGAAGAAACAAAAGGACCATAAGCAGCAAGTACAGCAGCAAATGCTGACTTCATGCACCTATTATGTATTATATTCCAAACACTGCTCAGTAAAGAATTCTTTCTCAGAATACTAAATATTGTTGCCCAGGTTTGGTATACAAAACATGCTCACCAATTCAAAATAAACCATTCTGTAACAGAGTGAAAAATGAAAGCTTGCAGAAATGTGGAAAATAAAAGTCCTTCTTATTACAGTTTAGTTAAACCTAATTTCCAAGCATGCACTCTTAGCAGAAAAACATTTCAAGGTCATCAACGCAGCGAAAGTAACTTTCCTTCCAGTAAAGAGTAAAGCAGTTTGAATGGCTTTATTCATATGTAATAGGAGCTTCACATATTACATTATGTTAGTTGGATCACAGTTAGAACTAATTCCGCTTCCAGGTCAAGTTTTAGAAGCATCTTACCTTTTGGACAAATCTATGACTCCCCACAACAGAAAAAGCATCACCAGGAGGCAAGGAAGTTGGCCAATGTAATCTGACTTTTTCACTTTGGGACTAGAAGAACAAATATATATATATATATATTTATTAGCCTAGAATTTTGGATGTATCATGAAAACATAAAATAATTCGAAAAATAATTCTCAGTGGTAGGCACGTTATGACTCTCCATCTTGTAAGAACAGAAAGCCTCAAACATATTTCCTGCACAAGACTGAACAGCAATTGTCCTCTACTTTAATGCAAATATTTAAGAAAAAAGATTACTAATGCAGAAAAATTACAATGTAGGAAGCTTACTCAACTAACCAATACTCATAAAAGAACCATGACTCTAGAAATTCTACATGTGTAATGTCCTGTAGGTTACAACAGGTTACTGAGGGATTCTCAAACTGTGAGCAAATCTGAGGGGCCTCTGGATTTTACTCCATTTTGCCTGGATTCAGGTGACTTTTGCAAAGCTGCTGGTTCTGGACCAGACCAGGCATAAAATCAGGCCCTTTGATTCTCCCTTGATAGTCTTTGTGCTTGCGGTAACAGTTCTTGCAACTGTTCCAATTGGTTCCTAAGCATTGTCCAAGGCAACCCAGATCAGAATTGTGGTGCTCCTGCCTCATCTCACCTTCTCCTTCTACCAACAGTGGGTCACCTGGGGCTCTTCTTGGAGAAGCATTGTGCTAAATTCTGGTGCTGCACTTATGTGCCCGCTCTTCTACTTCTTGGAGGAGGATGGTGCCTTCCATTGGGAGACCAGTGTACTCTGACTGCAGATCTTTCTAGAATGCATACCTGTGTGCTGAACTCTCAATTTGGCTGCTCTCAAGGTATGGAAGTGGCCCTCTTTCTTATGGCTGCTTCTCAGGACATGTATTTCCCCTTCTGATGCCCATCAAATGCTTACTTGTTTTATGATTTGTGCATTTAGTTTTCTAAAATGTTTCTACTTTTGGTTTTCAGTCAATCTTTCAAAGCAATTCAAACCAGGCTACTCTCATCTATTAAAAAGACACTGATCTGTTCCTACTTGCAGTTTGTAGCATTATCATAACATCCTGAATAATCCCAATCTTCTTTCTTCTCGCAAAGTTGGGCCCATCTCATTTCCAGGACGCAGTTAAAGTTTCATGTGTACTGGAATAAAAGCACTGCCCAGCCACTAGCTTAGACTGACACTGTACCAGCAAAATATGTACAATGTATAATACGATGACACCCAGTATCTTGAAGGTGAGGTCTGTTGAACTATAACAAGTTCTAATCTGGACAATAATTAGAGACACCTAAGGAAATAGCAGGGCAAAACATACCACACGGAGACCAGGATAAATCTATCCATAATTGTGCAGAAAGTCTGCCTTGATTCTGGAGCGTTTGATATATTCTACTATGTAAAACTGTTAACATAATAGGATGTATCCAGTACTTTAGAGAAAATAGCTGTTGTTGTTATAGGATAGAGATGACATGGCTACCAGCAACTAGAAGGGAGGTAATGTGCCCATTTCTGTAAGAAATGCTTGATACCTCAGGCTGACAGTTTGTCCAGGCAGAGCAGTAGCATGGCTGGTACTGATCCAACTGTGCGTGCATGCACACCCAAACGTAGAGTGGGAGCATTAGATATGATAAGAGTGGGAGCACTAGATATCTGATATGACTCTAACATTGCATACACAAGCCATTTGGAGTGAGCATGTGAAGCTAGAGCCTTGTTAAACCATGTTTTTACTTTGTGTGGCAGGTTGGCAACTAGCTTCTTCCAAGAAGCATGAAGCAATTTCTGACAGTGATCTAGCTTTGGAGATTTAAGCTTTGTATGTGCATAACTTGATTGCTGCCAGATTGTGCTCTTGCTCTGCCTGGACAAGTCAACAATAAGTTTGTCGAGGCAGAATGGGTGCCATGTCTGATAATGGAAGCCCTGTCAGATTGCACTATGATATTTGAGAACCCCAGATTACTATAAATTTTACTTTGAAAATACCTTTAACCACAACTCTGTGGCATAAATAATATAACAATTATAGGTCAGTGGCTTATCAGATCCAACATTCTATGTCACATTGTGACAAATGAGGTGAATTCAGAAAGTCTACAGAGGTGTACAGGGAGTGACAGCCCTCCTCCAGTCCTGCTCTCCAGCAGCAGGTATTTACAGTATGCTACCTGTGATTCTGGAAACAGTAAACAGCTATCAAGACTAACAGCCTTCAACAATGCAATTTCCTATTAATTTGTTCTGTCCCCTTTCAATAACACTTAAATTAATGGCTATCACCACTCCTCCTAGCAATAAATTCCTCAGTTTAACTATATGTAATATAATATTTCTATTTGTTTTGAATCCGATGAACTGTATACTGTAGACAGTATTATGTGTGTTTTTAAAGGGGCCACGATATAACACAGTAACACAGTTCTGCCTAGAACTTCATATACTAATATTAATTACCTGTTCTTCTATTTTGTCTTGCCGATCTAGAGCAGCTTCAACAGCATCAAAGAATTCTTCTTCATTAATCAGACTGTTGGGACCTTCCTATAGCAAAAATCAGTGAGAAAGTAAATTCAGTAGCAGGCACAAAATTAAGAGAGCTCAATAATATACTGCAAATTAAAAAAAAAAAGGTTGCATCAAATTTCTTTGGATCTGCTTATGTTGTTATTTTCAGATACTTTCATCAGTATGAAAAGTATTTAGGGCTTTATTATTTTGTAACAATATTAGATGGCTGAATCAACACATAATTAGGAAACATTGCTGCATAGAAGGAAAAAAACCCTAAAATCAACTAATTATGTGCAATAAAAAAACAGGTTAAGTAGAGGACAAAGAAGCCACCTTAAGTGAGCTGTAACAGGGAAGATAAAGAAGATAAAGAAGCACTAAACTGGACACCTAACTATTGGATTTGTGGGATAGAGATGGTTTAAACTGTAAAATCCTGTACTCAATTGACATCCTTTGACTTATATTTTATATAGACAAGCAGCAAAGAAGAACTACCTAGAGTTAAATACATAAATAAGTTTTAAAAAACTAAACAGGATATGATCCAATCAAAATTAGAACAAGCCATATTACTTTTCAATGAAATTGCTAAACATATGCTTAACTTTTATTCCTATAAAATTAATCACTTAAAATGTTCAGCAACTATCTCTGAGCAGTGCACATTTGCCCTGATGATTTAGAATTGACTATGGTACAACTCCTATTACCCTTGCCTGCAACACACACAACCTTTGTTCCTTTCATTTGGGAGAACAATGGCCATGAACAGCATTTAGCCCTAGAATAATCAAACCACAAATTTTCTCTAGTGAGAACAACTTTTTCCCCCTTACAGGCTTATGCAGGCAGACAATAAATGAGGTAATGAAGGATGTTAGTAGTCTGTTTATATTCCCTATCTTTACATCTTGATTTCTTCTCTTAATGGAAGATATCTAGCCATGAATAATATGCATCAAGCCAAGAAGGATTAAATGGAGATGCAGATTTTCAGATTTACCACTGGGCCAATGAATACCTAAGCGTTTATATGATGGGATAGTGAAGGTAAGGACAGGAGTAGGAAGCAGTTTCTTAACTGGGAGGATATACATGAGGGTGTTGCACCCCTGCTTAAGTGAGTCACACCTACAGTACGTATGTATGTACACACACAGCTCATTAAACTGAGTTCTGAAAACTGCAATTGAAATTGCTACCTGTGCTCTGGAATCTGACACACAAACTCTTTCCAATGTTTTCTATGATGAAACACTGCAGGAGCAACAAGGCATCTGGAGATCCTTTAAGCACATTCATGTGCTCCTTGGATGCCATTTATTTTTACTATTCACGTAAAGAGTACATGTTTTAGATAATTAGAACCTACATGTGACATAGGCAGAATTGCATCCTCTCTTACAATTGTACAGAAAGTTCATACTGGAAATGATAATTCTGTGAACTCTTCAGTTCAGTTTATACTAACCAGTTTTTAGATACAAAATGCTAAGGAAATAAACTGATGCTAAAAAAACATGTTGCAAGAAAGGTAATCCAATCATTAATGAAGTATGAAAACAAATTTTTCTTGTCTATACTTTTTGCTCAGTTAAAGGTCACCTTTAGCTGCACTAAGCATATTTTTGAAGTTACAGAACTGAATCTAACTGAATCCATCACTAATAAATACTCTCCTTTATATAATTTTGTATTTCATATTATTCAAGTTGACCATAGTGACTACAAAACTGAAAGGTAAAATGTTTTGCTTTTCTAAGCATTCTTACAAATTGGATCTATAACCTGGAAAAGTTGTATATGCTTCATATGTATAATATTTAATGAGATGTAACACAGAGAACAGAACAATGAGAGCACTGGGGACTTATTTCTTTTTCACTATCTACCCAACTCTTCTTTCTAGGTATTCATAACCCAAGATAAATATGTTTCAGTTTCAGTTTATTAATTGATTAGTCCTACGACCATATCAATACAATAAAATTAAATTTAAGTAATATACAATACATAGTTTAATTCCAAAAAGAAAAATAGATAGGAAAAATACAGTGACAAAATACATAAGTGTTAATACAAGGATTCAGTAGTCAGATAAATGAATCTCCCTTACAGGATACCCCAATTTGTTCAATGTATTGGGTTCTTATAACCGCTGCCTTACTTATAAACTTAGCAGTTCTGCATACAATATGCACATTAGAACCCAAGAGAAAATAAGACAATCTGTGGTTGGGATCCCAATATGCTGTTCTTTCCAATAAGGATGATAGATATTTAAGCCTAAGGGGTGCATACAATTGGCAATTGAAAAAAATATGAAAAATATTTTCAATGGCTGGTGAACTGCATATACAGGTTCTCTCATGATATGGCAAGTGGTGGAAGCGCTCATATTTGGCCATGGAATCCATTAATTCAAATCTAGCTCTAGAATAGGCCCTTCTTAAAAACTGTGGTAGGCTCATTGATAGATATTTTTCAGACTGAAAAGTAATTTTATTTTTAGCCAACTATCTTAAAGATCTATTTTCAGTCAATAATTCCCTATCAATTTGCGCACTAATATCTAGGACTCTCTGTTTAAAAATTTCCCTTGCCTGTGAGGCCATTGAAAGCAGATGCTGAATGGAAAACCCATGTCGTGAAATAACTTCAGAGAGTTGGCTGATCCAGGAATTGGGCTGTGCCATATTTATCTGTTCAGTTATGCATATTTTGGGAAGTCTATCAGAGTCCATTGATTGGATCTTCAACCAATATGTAAAAGCTTTAATTGTTAGATGACTATGTAAGAAATGAATACCTAATTCCGCTCTGACTGCAGGGGCAGACGTATTCTTATCAGTTCCCAACATGCATCTTAAAAAGCGGGTCTGAATTTGTTCAAGTGGGGTAGCTTTATTTAAACCCCACAATTCTGTACCATAGGTCAGCATTGGAACTATTTTCAATATAGGGGTCAGGGTGCCTGGGTAATTGTAATTAAATAATTTATATAATCTTTTAGTGCTTGCTGTGGCCCTTGCCAAGCTTCTTTTGAAGTGATTTAACCACAACACTGTGCTAGTAAAAACCACTCCAAGGTAGTTGAAAAAATTAACTTGTTCAATAGACTCCCCATTTTTCTGCCAGTTATATTTCATGCATTTCCTGCTGAATATCATCACTTTAGATTTGCTTTTATTGACATTTTAAAATTTTTGAGCACAATAGGTATTCAGTTTGGGAATGTGCCGTTAGAACCATATCATCAGCATATAATAAAATATTAATAAATTTATCAAGGATCTTTGGCATGTGAATGTGTACATCATACAGGAATCCTGGTAAATCATTGACATACAGGTTAAAAAGCATTGCAGCTAGAATACAACCCTGTCTGATACTGCTAAAGGTGGATATACTCTTGGTTAAAGAGCCATTTACACCTGTACGAACTTTCAAATAAGTGTTTGAATATTGGGCCTTAACCAAGAGTAAGAGTCTGGGTTCCACATTTAAGCTGGCCAATTTCTTCCACAGAATATTTCTATTTATCAAGTCAAAAGCCGCATTAAGATCTATAAATGCGGTAAACAGTTTCTTGCCATTTATTAATCGCTTTGATAAAAGATGGTATAAAGTAAAACAATTGTCTATTGTGGAGCACTCTAGTCTAAATCTAGCTTGTTCCTCCACTAAGAGTATTTTCATAACCCAGTCTTCTATTTTGCTCAACAGATGCCTTGCATACATTTTAGCCACAATTCCAATAAGGCTTATTGGTCTATAATTTTTTGGATCACCTTTATCTCCTTTTTAATATCAGGGAACTATAATGGAAACTTCCCATCCGACTGGAATACAACCTATATTATTTATATAGGTAAACAGCACTGTTAATAGTGGGTCCCACCAGTCAATATGAGTCTTAAAAAATTCCAGAGGTAAGAAATCTTCTCCAGGCGCCTTATTAGATTTTAAGGATTGAATAATAATTTTGATTTCTGATACAGATACAGGAGGCCAGGGGGGAAGGTTTTCAAAAGATTAAAAAATCAATACTTTGTTTATGCAAAAAAACCCTGGTTAGGATTAGAAAATAGATTAGCATAATAATCCTCCCAGGTTGAAGCTGGAATGGGAATATTGAACTGGAATTTACATTCCTTCAACAAACTCGATACAGTATTCCAGAAGAAAACTGAATTTGTCCCTTTTGCCCAGACTTCCAGATCTGACCATAATTTAGCTCTATAAGAGGCTTTCTTAAAGGCTATCAATTTCTTATAGTCATGCCTAATTTTTAGCATTTTTGCATGATTTTTTGTAGTAGGATGTCCCAGAACCTGATGCATTGCTGCCCTCAAAAGTTTTTTACTGTATCAACTGTACTGTCAGAATCAAACCAATTTGAAGTAATTTGCTGACAATTTCTAATAGGGAGTTTATCAATTAAAAATTTTCTCAGTGCATGACACAAGTCAGCATATTGGGTCAGGATTTTATCTGAATCTAAAGTAAGAGAAGAAACTGAGTTTCTCCAAGTCTAGGCCTTTTCAAAAAAATCGATAATGCCTTAGTATCAACCTTAGGCCAATTAAATTTCCTGTCCTGACTCACTTCAAGATTAGCTAATATCCTCTTATCCTAAGGCGTATATGACCTTGTGTCTGATCTGCCTTGAAAAGAGACTGTGATTGGTTGATGATCACTATCCTCCCTTACAAGTGCTTGGATATCTGAAAACAACTCAAACTTCTCTTGAGAAACACTTATGTAATCTAAAACACTGCTGGAGTTTCCTGAATGATATGTAAAAGGATATATAAAATCAGGTTCCTTACCACCTAAAATATGAAGGTTACATTTATAAATCAAGGAGACCAGTTGTGAACCTGCGATGTTTCTTTTGAGGTCATTAGAAAGCCAGGGTGGATCATTTATTAAATAATCCTCAGGTATAACACCCAAATGAACAAAATTTTGTAGGCTCCCACCCTGGCACTGAAGTCTTCTGCTAGAATTACAGTGGCTTTAGGATGATTTATATTTATCTTTAACATGGTCTCTTCTAGATTTGTCCAAATATTGGGAGAAAAATAAGAAGTACCGTATTTTTCCGACTATAAGACGATACTTTTTTTCTAAAATCCTTACCCTAAAAATTG